GATTCCTTTGTTTGGGAAACTCAGTCTTGCATAATACTAAAGCAAATATTCACCCATTGTTCTTGGAGAAAATAGTGAGGTCACTTGATTCTGCAAACAGATGTTGTGAAGTGAGCTGTGAAATGTTCTACTGCAACATGGATCAAGGGATCTTTTCTTTTTTCTTTTTTGGTGCTGGTCCTGGGGCTTGAATTTAGGGCCTGGGTGTTATCATTGTTTTTTTTTTTTTTTTTTGCACTTGTGCCATAGCCCTACTTCCGCATCTGACTTTGTTTGGTGGTTAAGTGGAGCTAAGAGTCTCACAGATTTTCCTGCTGGCTGGCTTTGAACCATGATCCTCAGATCTCAGCCTCCTGAGTAGCTAGGATTACAGGTGTGAAGCCACCAGGGTTTGGTTGACGAGTCATCTCTCAGTCAGTTCATCCTACCCCAGGGACACAAATACAAGAGTGGAGCCCAGCAGCAGACTGATCAGATCCTGGGACAAAAGAACAAAAAATAAGTAGGCTCCCTTACCTCAGGTCTGTAAGTGTAGCTACTCAGGAAGTTGAGATCTGAGGATCAAGGTCTGAAGCCAGACTGGGCAGGAAGAGTCCCTGAGAGTTTACTCCAATTAACCAGCAAAAAGCCCAACATGGAGGTGAGGCTCAAGGGATAGAGTGCTAGCTTGAAGCAAAAAGCTAAGGGACAACACCTAGGCCCTGAGTTCAAGTCTAAGTATTGACACAAAAAAAGTGAGAAAAGAATGTGGGAAAACCCTTTAGCTTCAGCTTGGAAGAGGTAGAGGCTTGAGTCAAGCCCACCATGCCAAATTCCTTCCTGGAAAGGAAATGCGAGAAACACCCTGCAGCAAACAGTTCCATTCCAAGGAAGTGAGGTAATCCACGAATTCAAGTGGAGAAAATGGCTAGAAATACCAAGACAAAAGAAAATTAGAAGAGAGTTGGGTGCTGGTGGTTCATACCTCTGATCCTAACATACTTAAGAGGCTGAGATCTGAAGATTTCAGTTCAAAGCCAGCCTGTGCAGACAAATCCTCAAGGCTCTTATCTCCAATTAACCAGCAAGAAGCTGAATGTAGAGTTGTGGGTCACGTGGTACAACACCATCTTTGAGTTGAAAAAGCCAATCAAAAGTTTTGAGGCCCTGAGTTCAAGCCCTGGTCGTGGAAAAGAAAAAAAGTTAGGAAGCAGATCACACTTGTTTGAATCAACCTGGGAAGAGCAGAGATATGCAGGTTACTAAGATTACACTTAACCCCATTAAATAAAAAGACAATGGGAGAGGAAGCAGAGAGAAAATGGTTTCTGAGGAAGTGGGGATGTGGCTCATGTGGTAGAGTGCTTGCTTAGTAAGTGTGAGGCCCTATATCAACTCCTAGTACCACTATTCTCCCCTCCTCCCTGTCCCCCCGCAAATAAAATAAAACAATCTTAACTCTTTTTTGCCGGTTGTGGTGCCTGAACTCTAGGCCTGGGTGCTGTCCCTCAGCTCTTCAGCTCAAGGTTAGCATTCTACCACTAGAGCCCTAGAGCCACCTCTGGCTTTTTTGCTTAAATGTGGTGCTGAGGAATCGAACCCAGGACCTCATGTATGTGAGACAAGCACTCTACCACTGAGCCACCAGCCCCTCTTAACTTTTTTTTTTTTTTTGGCAGTAATCGGGTTTGAACTCAAAGCTTTCTACCTCTTACTTGCAAAGTAGGCACTCTATTATATAAGCCATACTTTCATCCCTAGTTTCTGCCTTTACAATGTGTGTGTGTGTGTGTGTGTGTGTGTGTGTGTGTTCTGGAGTTTGAACTTAGGGTCTGGGCACTGTCCCTAAGCTTTTTTTTTTGTCAGTTGTGGGGGTTGAACTCAGGGTCTGGGTGCTGTCCCTGAGCTCTTTCACTCAAGCCTAGCACTGTATCACTTTGAACCACAGGTCCACTTCTGGTTTTCTGGTGAGTAACTGGAGATAAGAGTTACACAGACTTTCCTGCCAGGGCTGGCTTCGAACTGGGATCCTCTGATCTCAGCCTCTTGAGTAGCTAGGATTATAGCCATGAGCCACCTGTGTCCAGTGCTTTCACTTTTTTTTTTTTGTCAGTCATGGGGCCTGAACTCTGGGTCTGGGTGCTGTTCCTCAGCTCTTCAGCTCAAGGCAAGTGCTCTACCACTTGAGTCACAGCACCACTCCTGATTTTCTGGTGATTAATTGGAGATAAGAATCTCACAGCTTTTCCTGCATGGGTTGGCTTTGAACTGCAGTCCTCAGATCTCAGCCTCCTGAGTAGCTAGGATTACAGGCGTGAGCCACCAGCGCCTGGCTTTTTTTTTGGGTTGTTATTGTTGTTGGTCATGGGGCTTGAACTCTGGGCCTGGGCACTGTCCTTCAGCTCTTCAGCTCAAGGCTAGCACTCTGCCACTTGAGCCACAATGCCACTTCCAGCCTTTTCTGCTTATGTGGTGGTGAGGAATTGAACCCAGGGCTCATGCATGTAAGGCAGGCACTCTACCACTGAGCCAACTTCCCAGCTCCCTGCTTTCACATTTTTTTAAATAGGCATTTATGCCCAGGGCTACCTTCTAATCCCCTCTTGCCAGGTAGCCAGGATTACAGGAAGAGCCATTGTGCTTTGTGGGATCTTGACTTTGTAAACAAAGCAAACATTAGCAAACTCTTCTCTGAGTTGTGTAATTTCCTCAATGATGGCATTAACTAAGGAAAAGCAGAGAGAAGAGGCAAGATGAGGGAGGGAGCAGGTAGAACAGCTGCTGGGACCAGCTGGCTCAGCTTAACTATCCAGTCTGTACACATCAGGAAAACCAAAGGGTGGAGAAGGGATGCAGCTTTCAGAAGTAAACTAGCCTTGTGGGGAAGACTTGACTTCCAGTTTAGTGTTTGCAAGTCCTGTGAAGAATAATCCACAAACCAGAAGGTGTCTGTGGAAGAGCTGGCAGGACTAGTGGGCATATGGGGCACCCCTATCAGGGCCCATTGCCACTCTGCCTAGACAATCAATGACTTTTTCCTTTTCTTTTTTGCCAGTCCTGGGGCTTGAATTCTGGACCTGGGGCCCTGTTCCTAAATTTTTGTGCTTGAAGCTAGCTCTACCACTTGAGTCACAGCTCTACTTCTGCCTTTTTTGGTGCTTAATTGGAGATAAGAGTCTCACAGACTTTCTTGCTTGTGCTGGCTATGAACTGTGACCCTCAGATCTCAGCCTCCAAAGTAGCTAGGATTGAGTGAGCCACCTGGGCCTGGTGGTACCATTGAATTTTGAATAGGCCCAGCACACTCCCGTCCAGGTACTTCTTCCCCAGCTGAGATGGCTGTGGTACCAACACAGCAAGATACGTTGACTAGGGTTTTATCACAGGATCCCACATGAGCCCTGGGGTGCCAAGTGTGCATGCTACCCAGGAAGCCTTCAGAGCTGAATGTCATGGGAAGGTGGCGAGAGCAGGCTGCATTAGGTGTCCTGCCTGAGCCACATCACACTGTACAAGCTGGCAGGGAAGAGGGCTAGCGACTCCTGGTGGTCTTGCCTAGTTCCAGGTCCAACAGGAAGTCTCTGGAAAATCTAATATAGTTCCTGGAAGCCCCAGTTCCTCTGGCCTCCCCTTCTTTTTTTTTTATATAAATCTATAGTTTTATTAAGACAAAAGCTGACAGTATGGTATGAGGTGTACAGTTAAACAAAAGTTTCACAGATGTCTAACACATGCTTAAAAAGATTTTACAATGTAGATGTAGGTCTTAATGTCAAGAATCCACAGAGCAATTTTAGCTGGACATGGTGGTATATGCCTATAATCCTAGCATTTGGAAGGCCGAGGCAGGAGGATTGAGAGTTCAAGGCCAGCCTAAGCTATATATCAAGACCTTGTCTCAGTGTGTGTGTGTGGGGGGGGAGACACCAAAAAAACAAAAACAAAGACAAAAGGATACTTTTGGGTAGCTGTTAAATCTTACGATTGTTTTGTACTTTTTTTTGTACTTTTTGAGGAAAGCACTGCCCTAGTATGAAAGGTTAATCTCCTGAGATCAGAGCTTTTGGAATAATTAACCCTTGGAGCGACTCAATGAAATTTGTGCTGTGACTGAACCCTGACACTAATGGTCTCAGAGTTCAAAGATCAAAAAAAGATCACAAGGCTTTACCGTAAGAGCATGAGGCTCTTCTATCTCCTACACTCCCTCAGTCCTCCCCAAACAATTCAAGCCAGTGGCTTGAATGGACAAATTGAAAACATAATTGGAAGAAAAAAAAAAAGAAGAGGAATCCTTTTCTAATTTCAAGATTTAGCACCTTGAAGACAGAATGGTCTGCCTGTGTATACTCTCCAATAAAGGACCTCCCCCAACCCCCCTGGCCTCCCCTTCTTAAACTGAGTTCCAGAGCTGGAGGAACTTTTTTTTTTTGTCAGTTGTGGGGCTTGAAGAGCTCTCTACCACTTCAGCCACAGCACCACTTCCGGTTTTCTGGTGGTTTACTGGAGATGAGTCTCATGGACTTTCCTGCCTGGGCTGGCTTTGAACTGCAATCCTCAGATCTCAGCCTCCTGAGTAGCTAGGATTACAGGTGTGAACCACCGGAGCCTGGTTTGGAGGAACTTTTTTCAAGTCTTTCCCCTAACTCTGAGATGAGATGAGATGGTGGCAACAGTTTTGGAGACCCAGTTGTGTCTAACTTCCCTTCATGGCAACCACAGGCTACAGTGAAGTTTATCTCCCTTCTAGGCCTTGACGCTGTGCCCACGTCACAGGGCTCATACAGGCACCAAGTGCATGCCTCCCAGGGCCCTGGGTCAGGGAACACCCCCAGCCCTTGCCCCAGCCCAGCCTGCCCCCCTTCCCTCTGAAGGTGTCTCCAGCAGCTCCTCTGAGAGATGACTTCACAAGGATGCTGGGTCCTACCCCTCAACTTGGTGCTTTGGCGTCATTCAGTCCCCTAACCTAATCTACCCAAGTCCTGCCACACAACAAGCCAAGACAGGGAAGGGTTAGGAGGAGCCTCCACATTTTATTAGGGATACTGCAGAAGCTGAGGCTGGAAGCAGAGCAGCCATGTTTTTAACAACAGATAAATTAACCGCAGTGCGGGTTGGGGTTTGGGGACTTGGCCAGGCGCTTTAATATTTAAACAAACAAACAAAAACAAAAGAACAAAAAGACAGACAAACAAGACCCCAAGACATGGGGTAGGGAGGGCAGCACCGTTTAGACAGCAAGGAGGACCAGGGCAGAGAGAGAAGGCAATTTGTCCCCCCTCCCCCCAAATTCCACCAGCACAGGGCCTTCAGAACAACCCCATGGTGGGGGACTTTGGGAGAGGAGAGCAGCCAGGATGGGCAGAGATGGCACAGCTGGCGGGCAGGAAGCCCAGCACCTCAAGATGGCTCAGCCTGAAGTGGGAGCTGGGATATAGTGGCCTTGAACCCCTATTCCCTTAAAGAAGAGCTTGACTCTGGGTGATCGAAAGGACGGAGGATAGGGTCTCTCCCTGAGCTAAGTGTGGTAAATCTCATCCACAGCAGCGGTGGGGTATGCCAGGGACTCCGGTCATCTTCTTATCCACATGCCTCCTTGGTCCCTTAATGGGGGGGGGGTCCTCCACTGGCTCCACTGGAGTGGAGTATGAAGTGTAGGTCCAGTCTATTTAGTCCCCAGCTCCAGAGGGGCCTGGGAGGGGCACAGCTGTGGTGGGCACAGCCCCCTCAGCCCTGACTCCCACAGGAGGACAGCGAGTCGTATAAAGAGTCACTGAGAGACTCTGAGGTCTCCAGCCCTGGAGCGCCCCCACTGGCCACTCTGCCTTCTTCACCCATGTCTGACGTGCTGGGGGTGCGACTGCCCCCAAATGCTGGGCCCTGGGGCGTAGAGGATGGGCGGTTGGGCTCCAGGCTTCGCTTGTGGTCCACGGGCAGAGCCTGGAAAGGATAGACAACTTGAAAACAATCTTTCCTTCCCACCTTCTGGTCAATCTGTGTGTGTGTGGGGGTGAGGGGGTAGGGGGGGTTTGGGGGGGTGGTGATGGTGGCTATAGAACCCTTTTCCCCAACTAGGGTGGCTGAACTGCCCAGCCACTGAGGGATACTTTCTCAGCCCATTCTAGGTCAGTGCAGGACACAAGCTGTACCTACTTCACCCGAGACTGCTTTCCCGTCCTCCTCCTCCTCCTCCCTTGCTGCAGTTCTCACCATGGGGGTCCTGGGTAGCCCCTCTAGCTGTCGGGGTGCACACAGGAAGGGGTCAGCAGAACTGCCAGCTGCCCTGGTGTTGGGGAAGGTCCAGTTCTTGGCCAGCTGGATAGGAGGGGCAGGGCCTGGGTCTTCACAAGGATCTGTGCAGGAACAAAGGGAAGGTGGCTAGAGCTGTCCAGCTCCTCGGGACTTCCCACCCACCTGAGTGAGACTCACCATCGGGACAGGTTGGGTGGCCACGGTGGCTGGGAGTAGCAGTGAGTAGTGCAGGAAAGGCTGGCATGCTGGGGTGCCGCCCGCTCACCAGCAGCTCCTCTATACCTGGCACCTCCCGCTCCAGTGTGTGGGCACGGCGAGGGACTTTGGTGAGGGCTGCTGGCCGAGTTGGGGGCACCCCTGGTGGGGGATCCAATCGTGCTGGCTTGGTCTTGGGAAGATTCTTGCCGGGGGTCCCACTGCTGCCATGGTCTGGGGGTGGGAAGGTCCCAATGCCACTATCCAAGGTTCGAGTCAAGGAGCCACAAGCTGGGGGTGAGAGAGGGCGTGTGGTGGGTAAAAGGCGGAGCTTGCTCCTTCTTCTTTCTTCCTCTAGCTTCAGGCCCCACCCTAGCCAGGCTCCACCACACTCAACCCTACTGGCCCAACAGGATCCTCTCATTGAACCCGCCCCCCCCCCCCACTCCCTCCCCACCACCCTGGCTACCAACTGGCCATGGAGCTGGTACCCCTGAGTAGCCCAAAATCTCTCACACCTCAGTGCTAGGAACCAAGATGGAACAAAGTCCTGGCACCTGCCAAGGTGAGGAAGGAATGGAATGGGGGTAAAGGGGCACTTCCCACCCTCAGTCCCCAACCCTGCTGACCTGTGAAGTGTGAAGTGGGCACTGGCTCTGCCAAGCTGTCCTCTGAGGGCATCTCCTCCCGCCTGCCTGGCTCACTGCTGGGCTGTGTGGGTACAGGAGACTCGGATGACTCCTCTTACCCGTCCCTGAACTCACAAATGCATCCAGCAGCTTCCAGGTCCCAGGGAGAAAAACCCAGAGTCGGATCCTCTACCCAGCCCTGCCCAAGAACTTACCTTTCCAGGTGTTTTCCCACAGCCCTGAAGTGGGCCCACCAGGCCATTCCGGGGCCCGCAGGCTGGCCAGGGGCTCTTGGGGTCAGTGGACACTGGCTGGAAGTCCCCATACTCAGGCTTGGGCTCCCGCCAGCTCTTAGGTGGCAGTTCCTTGCCATCCACCCTAGAGGCAACAGTGCACATAGGTGAGGGAGGCTGGTGCGGCAGGGATGCCAGCTGTTGCTGTGCTTTGGATAATTCAGGACCCTTGTCTCCAGATATTCCAGGTTAATCCTAATTGTGGGGATGGAATTATAAGGGTGGAAACTTAATCTGACTATGGCCATTGGGAAGTGATCTGGACCACATATGGCCATCTAGGTGGAGCCCTCATGGCTGAATCCTGCTGACTTTGGAGGGTCAGGAGCGCGCATGTGCACACATACACACACGTACGCACACACACTCACACACGTATGGGCCATGTGACACTCTCCACCATCTCAGGACTCTGCCAACAAGAAGGCTAATACTAGATGCAGCTCCTAGACCTCATACCTTCAGAGGCACAGCCCCAAACACTTTTCTTTATAAAGTAGCTTGACTCAAGTATTTCTCTTTTCTTTTTGGTCTGTCATGGGGCTTGAACTAAAGGCCTGGACACTGTCCCTGAGTTCTTTTGCTCAAGGATAATGCTGTACTACTTTGAGCCACAGTGCTACTTCTGGTTTTCTGGTGGTTAAGCAGATATACGAGTTTCCTGGGGCTCAGGCTGGCTTCAAACTTTGATCCTCAGCTCTCAGCCTCTTGAGTAGCTAGGATTACAAGTGTGAGCCAGCAGCATCTGGCTGGCCTCGACTAGTTCATCACAGTGATGGAAAGTAGACACAGCAGCCTGACACCCACCAGTGATGGTTGTTCTTACCAACTCTTTCTGACTCTGGTAATAGGCAGGGAAAGTCCTAGAGAAACTGTAGGGGTAACAGAGAAAGGTAGGAGTCCTTCCTCAAAGCTACCCAGAAACAGTATGTCCTGGAATACTGGCAAACTAGGCTATGACTTGGTACATGCACAACACTCTTGCTTGTTCCCTTGGCTTTCAGAGCACACTTGCCATTCAAACCCTGACTGGAGTCCCATCTCCTTGGGATGAATGAGTGGGTCCCCCTACCACAGTTCTCCTTATGGTGGGTGCCAAAGGGTAAGATGGGAAGGGTCCCTCCTCTCCAGCCTCCTCACTAACAGGTTTTCAGCAGCCCAGAGGTAGAATCTAGCAATCATCTGACTGACATATAAAGGTCCTAGACAAGTTCCTTTGACACAAGACAATCCAGAAAAATGGAGACCATGAGCTCTTCTCAAATGAGAGCTAGTGCTCTAACTTGACAGCCAATAAGGATAAAGTGGAGTGGTTTTAAACTCCAAGCTTCTGACTGATCTTTCCTTCAGGCCTGGTCACTACCTCTCCCCCTACCCGCCCCCCCACCCGCCCCCAACCCAGTGCTTTGGTGGCACCCTAGTCTCCTAGATCTCTGGGAAGCCCAAGCTCCTGGGGTTAGCAAAGGTCAGGTTAGAGTCAGGTGTATTTCAGCCCTCACCTGTTGAGCAGCTGTTGCATGAAGGTGTCTGCCCCTTGGTACATGCCAGCCAACTGGCCCTGCACCTGCCCCAGACCAGGGCTAGGTCCTGGGGCTGAGCCCCCAGGCCGTGGACGAGCCCGGCTGCTCAGGTAGGCCTTCTCCTCCTCCAAGGCCCGACGCAGGTCTTCTGCCTTAGCCATCAGCTTGGAGATGTTGAGGCTCTCAGCTTCTAACTTTCGGGCTTCCACCTTGACCTCCTTCCGAAGTGGGGAGCCCCCACTAGCTCCTTCCTTATTCTTAGTGGTCTCTGTACGGCGGTTCAGGGCTGGCAACTTGCTCTTCTTAAGGCCAAACCAGCTGGCAATACTGCTGGTGTTACGATGCTTGGCCTCAGAGCCTGGTGCCCGTTCCTGGCCTTGAAGCCGCAACACATTCTCCTCAATGCCCTTCATCACCTTCTCCTCAATGGCTGAGTGTAGGGCTGGCCCTTCAGGGCCTTGGTTTGGGTCAGTGGGGCCAGGTACTGGGGATGTGGGCTGTCCCGTGGAGCTGCCACAATCTGCCCAAGGTGGGACCTTCCCCTTGTCAGGTTTGGGAGGTTCCTTAGTGACTGGGGAGGCCCCAAGTCGGGGTACCACCTTGGTAGGGGACTTGGAGGGTAGCTTTGTAGGGCTGCTGTGAGGGCTTTTGTTGGGCTTGCCAAGGCTGGGGGTTGAGGTTGGCACTTTAGCAGGAGTACGGGGCACCTGAGGGCACAGGGCCCCTGCCAGTCGGCTCTTGGCCAGCTCTACTTTGGTGAGGCAGCTCCTTGGTGAGACAGGTTCCAGGTCCACCCGGGCCCCCATGGAGTGGGATGAGTAGACCCGAGGGGCCCCAGGATCCCCAAGTCCAGGTTCCTGCTGCTTCAGGCTGTTTGTGCCTAAGGCCACTGTTCCCCGAAGGACTCCCTTAGAGTCTGGCTGCTCAAGGGGTCTGGTGGTGGAGGGTACCATGTCTCCAGTGTTCTCCCCTGACCTCCCTGGTCCCCGAGCTTTCTCAGTGCCAGGTCTGGCTGGCATCCCATTCTTCTCTGGGCCCATGGGCCCCTCGGGGCCTGTCTTTAGTTTCCCAAGGGCTGCCAATCTGTCCCGCAGAGGTGTGTAGCCGGGATCCCCGGGCCGCCGCCCTGACCCCTGACTGAGCTTCTTGGATGAGCTGCCAGGGGTCCTGCGGCCAGGGTGGGGAGACTCTGAGCCTGCCTTTTCCAGGTTCTTCTCCTGGGGGCTCCCATAGGAGCAGGATTCCGGGAGGCAAGGGCTGGAGACGCCAGGGCTTCTGAGGACTTCAGGGGCCTGTGGCACCTCCAGAGTCAATTGTTGGTAGGTGGGCACCTGCAGGGGCGATGGAGGCGGCTCTGGGGAAGGCCCCCTAAAAGTGTTCCGAGAAAGGTCCAGAATGTTCTCATAGCAGGGAGACACCACTGGTCCTGGGGACAGGGTGGTGGACAAGGCTGACTGCGGGGGTCTCAGTTGTGCAGAGTCCGGGGTCGTGGAACAGGCTGAAGGGCTGGTAGGCAGGCCCTGTGCCCCCTCTGGGGACAGCTCTCCTCCCCCCAGGCCCCTGCGGGCTAGTAGTGGGGAAGGGCTGCCATCCGAACCACTGTTGCGGCAGGGGATTCGGGAATTTCGGGGGAGTTGGGGGCTGAGCTGGGGGCCTCCTGGGCTTGGGATCTTCTCTGAGGCTGGCGGCAGCTTGAGGAACTTGAGACCTCTGGCTGGAGAGGGCAGAAGGGCAGGTCCCTGGGCTTCTCCAGGAGAAGGGGGCCCAATTTGGAGCTTGCTTTTCACCTGAGATGAGGAAGGGGGGTGGCCAAGTCTCGAGCCCAGTGGGGCATCTCCTGTACCCACAAACATGCTGAGAAAAGGGAGGGGCCCCTGACCCTCTGAGGTAGCACCAAAGCCTAGCCTGTTGGCTTCTGGGGTACTCCCACCCCAAGCTGACTTTGGGAGGCCTTTGGGCTTAGACAGCTGAGAGGGGCCCTGGTCTGGGGAGGCTGGCAGCCCAGGACTTGGGTGTCCCCCATTGAGTGGGCTAGCTGCCCCAGCTAGGAAGGCCTGTAGGTAAGTCTCCGTGTCCTCAAGGAGTTGGCCCAGGTTCAATTGCTTGCGGGCCAAGGCACCCAGTAGGGTGTCAGGGCTGGGCGCCTCATTAGGGTCACCTGCCTCATCAGAAGAGGAGGAAGAGCTGCTGCCTGGGGCACAGTGTGGGCCAGAGCTAGGACCCTGAGCTGCTGGTGGAGCTCTAGTAGGGCCCCAAGGTTTCCCAGAACTCTCTTCCTCTCCCGGGGCCCCCAAAAGGCGCTCCCAGTGCAGCACGCCCCCCAGGCTGCCTGGGCCCAGAAGCAGATAGGGAGTCCAGGGTGAGGGCTCAGGCTGGGGTGGGCCACACAGCTCGCCATTGATAGGCTCTGGAGAGCTGGGCCCCTGGCCTGGAGGCTGCCAGGGGGTAGCAGGTGAGCACAGAAGCAAAGGGTCCGTCTCTTCCAGTGCTCGTAACACCTCCAGAATCTGGGCTTTCTTCCGAAGAAACGGGGACAGAGCATCCAGTGCTGGGGGTGGGGCAGGAGGGGGGCCTGGGCCTCCTGGCCGCAGCTGCTGCTCCCAACACACCTGCGGGGGGGGGGGGGGGGGGAGGGTAGCAGGGAAGAGGTGGAGAAGAAGCATGAAGAGGAAACCTTGTGTGGCACAAGCCCTGGGCATCACCAAGTACATCTGTTACAGGGCTGGCTTGTGGCTTGACTAGGTCTATGTCCCCAAAAGTAACTCACAGAGCTTAAGATAGGATGACTCAGCTCCTCCAAAGATGGCTGAATTCTGGTTACATCAGTTCTTGTACCTGGCACACGTGGGCTAGGGTGGGTTCCCTTAGTTACCCCAGCCTCCCATATCTATTGCTGTTTGGCTTTGCAGGGCTGACCATCTGACTATACCTACCTCTGACCTCCATGCTTATTCTGGAAGGGAGGTTGTGTGACATAGCTAAGTTTTGCCACAGCTCATCTGCCTGGTCCTGATTTTTAGCAGAAGCAGCCTGGGGATGATTCAATGTGAAACTTCTCTGATGTTACCTAGCATCCCCTTTTTTGTTTGGTGCCAGTCCTAGGGCTTGAACTCAGTGTCTGGTAAATGTCTCGTGGCTTTTTTTTTTTTTTTTTCTTTTTGGTCCAGTAGTGGGGCCTGAACTCTGGGCCTCGGCACTGTCCCTCAGCTCTTCAGCTCAAGGCTAGTGCTCTACCACTTGAGCCACAGCGCCACTTCCGGCTTTTTTTCTTTTTACTTATGAGGTGCTGAGGAATCGAACCCAGAGCCTCATGCATGCAAGGCAAGTGCTCTACCACTGAGCCACCTTTCCAGCCCTGGTAAACTGTCTCTAAGCATTTTTTTTCCCCCCTCAAGGCTAGTGCTCTACCATTTGACCCATAGCTCCACTTCCAGCTTTTTAGTAGTTCACTGGAGATGAGTCTCATAGACTTTCCTGCCCTGGCTGGTGATGAACCTCTATCCTCAGATCTCAGCCTCCTGAGTAGTAGCATTATAGGTGTGAGCCACCAGAGCCTGGCTCTAGCCCCTTCTTGAGTCTGGCACCATGGCTAACAATATCTGCTTTGGAGTAAACTCGATAATGTTAAGTTTAAGTCCTAGTCCCACCTAGCTCTATGACCTTCAGCAAGTTATCTGACCTCTGTGCTTCATGGTATCATCTGTAAAAAATGAGATGGTAATTATGTTTAACTCCATAAATAAAACAAAAGAGTCCCACAGGGCTCCACACAGTGTCTGGCACAGAATGAATCCCTAAGGGCAACTATGACATGACTCTCACCACATTACTAATGTGTTTGCTCACAGGCCAGTCGCTGGGGTGGGACCTGTTTTTCTTGGTATGAGGCTGACAGTTGAGGACTCTACACACTTCCAGCCTGGACAAGAGCCTGTGCCTGAGCAACAGCCTTTCCCCAGGGCTTGTTAGAAACACCAGTGGAACTTGCACTGACTAGCCTCTAGCCAGCAAAGCCACCGATCTCTTACCTCTCTCTGTCCAGCACAGCGCCCTAGAGGCAGTGAAGTGGCTGGTCCTTCAGCAGCACTCAGGGAAGGGGAGGCTGGTGGCTCTGATGGTGGCTGGAGTGGAGTGAGTGGGATCTGCCGAGAAAGAAGTGTTAGCATGGCGGCCATCTGGCTCCTCAGGGTTGGGTTTTCCTGTCTAGGTGGACCCCTCTTTGGATGTCTCCTGATCCTGGAAGTGGCTTATCTTGCCACCCCAACTGTGGGTTAGGAGAAGGCTCAGGAGAGCACAGCACAGATAGATCTGAAAATAGCACAGGCCCAGATGTCAGGAGGTGAGACAAGCCAAAAGACATACTGGCCTGACCCAGAGGTAGTGGCAGAACTAACTCAGAATGCCCATCTTGAGTCCAGCACACTTTGTCTGGGGGAACTTCCTGCCTTCTTGCAAGGGAGACTATCACCAGAGGCCCTTCCTGCCCTGACCACCTTCGACTGGAGAATGACAGAAAATGACCTTAGGAAAGAGATGGCAAGGGAGGCATCATTTCTGGGTCCCTAATCTGGTCTCCTGTGAAACAACTACAGAAGACTGCAGAAAATTTAGTATCTGTCCTTGAGAATGTGATTCCTTCTCCCAGGAATCTCAGTTGCGGATAAGCCAGTTTTAACCCTTCCCTTGCTCTCACTTCTGCAGAGCTCAAATTCTGCAGTGACTGAGCCTTGCCTCTGGCTGTGTGCAACCTGGGCTTTCAGCTCAGATCTTCCACTTGTGGAGTGGGTACTGTTCGGCATTCCAACCTGTCTCCTTGACCAGTTTGATGGCTTTTCAGTCTCTGGTGTTCAAGGATGTTAAGGCATATTTTTTTCTTTTTGTCCCCCGCCCCACAACTAAAGTATCTGTGCTGATCCCTAGGCTTCTTTGCCCTAGGTCTTTTCTTATGCTGTTTTTTCTTTCTTTTTTTTTTGGGGGGGGGGAGGGGCGGTCGTGGGGCTTGAAATCTGGGCTTGGGCGCTGTCCTTGCACTCTTCAGCTCAAGGCAAGTGCTTTACCACTTGAGCCACAGCGTCACTTCCCTTTTTCTAGTGGTTTATTGGAGATAAGAGTCTCGCCGATGTTCCTGCCCGGGCTGGCTTTGAACCGTGATCCTCAGATCTCAGCCTCCTGAGTAGCTAGGATTACAGGCATGAGCCACTGGCACCCGGCTTTATACTGTTTTTTCTTTTTTTTTTGGGTCCGGTCATGGGGACTGAACTCTAGGCCTGGGCGCTGTCCTTCAGCTCTTCAGCTCAAGGCTAGCGCTCTACCACTTGAGCCACAGTGCCACTTCCGGCTTTTTTCTTTTTTCTTATATGGTGCTGAGGAATAGAATCCAGGGCTTCATGCATGCTAGGCAAACACTCTACCATTGAGCCACCTTCCCAGCCCCTTTATGCTGTTTTTTTTTCTACAAGGAAATCCCTTTTCTTGGTCTCTGAACCTTTTGTAAATCTCCCATTCATCCAAGTCCAGGTCCAATGTCATCTAACCCTGCAGGGACCTTCTCTGAGGGCCTGTTTCCTCTCCCTGGCCCTAGAACAAAAGGCACTGTCATACCTAGTTCTTTAGACTGTCTGGAAACTTAGTCCCCAGTGGTTCCAGCCTTCCGGATTCATGCCTATTCTGCACAGGCCATAGTCCTGAGACAGGGCCTTGCTAGGTGCTAATCACAAGCAGAACTTATTTGGTACCGTACCAAGCAATTTTCATCCCATCAAAGCACAACCTGGGAATCATACCAATATAAAGAGCTGGCATTTATTCACTATGAAGGGCCAAGGGCAACACATTCTCTCCTCTCTTTCACCTCTCTCCTCCTCCTACCTCCTCTCATGCCAGTATTAGGGTTTGAACTTAGGGCCTCATGCATCTGCTTAAGCTTTTTACAAGGCTGAAGATCTATGATTTAAGCTACAGCTCCACTTCCAGCCTTTTTGCTGGTGAATTTGGAGCCAAGAGTCTCTTGGATTTGTCTCTGGGGGCTGGGTTTAAACTCCCAATCCTTAGATCTCAGCTTTGTGAGTAGACAGGATTACAGGTATGAGCCACCAGCACCAGTGTATATTCTTTTTTTTTTTTGGGTCCGGTCATGGGGCCTGAACTCTGGGCCTGGGCGCTGTCCTTCAGCTCTTCAGCTCAAGGCTAGCGCTCTACCACTTGAGCCACAGTGCCACTTCTGGCTTTTTTTCTTTTTGCTTATATGGTGCTGAGGAATCGAACCCAGGGCCTCAGGCATGCAAGGCAAGCGCTCTACCACTGAGCCACCTTCCCAGCCCCCACCAGTGTATATTCTCATTTAATCCTCACAACAGCATGCAATATAGGTACTTCTATCTCATTTCTAAGAGAAAAACCCCTGTAGTTTGTAAAGTCAGATACTTTGTACACTAAGTTAAAAAGCAGTTAATTCAAGAATTCAACCCCAGTTTATCTGAGGCCAAGGTTCATGCTCTTTCTATTATGTCTTATTGCCACCGGGGAAGTGAAATCTATTGGCTAACACCCCAGGAGTTCCAGAGTTAAAGCTGCTTTGTTATCAGCAGTATGTTGCATTTTGGGGAGATTCTGAGGTGAACCCTGAACTAAGGAGAGAACTAGGCAGGGAGAATTACAGACTGTGTTGATTGGGATTCAGTTCTATACCACCTGGGTGACACAGGGACTCCAGAAAGGCTTCTGCAGGGACCAGGCATCCCAGTGAGAGGAAAGGTTCTCTGCTCAGGGACTGGGATCAAGAGCTGCTTGTGTTGCTTACACACAAATCCAGACAGAGGCACCCAATACACAAAGTGTTTCTCTTCTGGTCAAATGCGCTCAGAAGTAACATGCTATTCCCCCCTGCAATCTAGATCTGCTCCTGGTTCTCCTAAGTATCTCTTTCCATCCTTGGGGTTTGTGGCAGAGTAACCTCAGTGGCATCATTTGTATATGCACATGTATCCACATGCATCCAGTCCTGGGACATGAACTCAGGGCCTAGGTGCTCTTCCTGAGCTTCTTTTTGCTCAAGGCTCTACCACTTGAGTCATAGTTCCACTTCCGGCTTTTTTGTTGGTTAACTGAAGATAAGAGTTTTATGGACTTTCCTGCCTAGACTGGCTTTAAACCATAATCTTCAGATCTCAGCTTCCACAGAGTAGTTAGTTAGTAGTGTGTACTGCCTGGCTTCTGTGACATCTTAACTGAGCCCAGGATTCATTCTTTTTTTTTTGGTCAGTCATAGGGCTTGAACTCTGGGCCTGGGCACTGTCCCTTAGCTCTTCAGCTCAAGGCAAGTGCTCTGCCACTTCCAGTTTTCTGGTGGTTTTATTGGAGATAAGAGTTTCATGGACTTTCCTGCCTGGGTTAGCTTTGAACCGCAATCCTCAGATCTCAGCCTCCTGAGTAGCTAGGATTATAGGCATGAGCCACCGGCGCCTGGCCCAGGATTCATTCTTAGAGCCTCCTGCTGCTCCTAGGACATGCAGGGGGTCAGGTGGCCAGAGAAACCAATGTCTGTGAACTTGTGTGTGTGCGGATGGTGAGTAGATGCAACTATGTGTGTGCACAGAGTTAGTAGCCATGAAATTGCTTTTCCTGCTTTCTCTGTGAAAGAAGCTCTAGGCTGCCTCACAGAGGGCCACACCCCAACTCTGGCCAGGAAGAGGCCAAGTCACTAGCCAGAGTCTCTTGGGAGCTTCAAATAGCTTCGTTTGCAGTCTCCACCCATTTCCCCCACAACAGAGTAGGAACCAGTGAGAGCTTTCTTAGGCAATAAGAAAGAATGCAGCCCAGCTGGGTGGGGAGCACCTGGAAGGCAGGGGGGTGGCCAAGCTTGCAGAGACTCAGGTCTACCTGTTTTTACCTTTCCTAAGGTGCTAATCTGTCAGGTTGGACAGGCCTTTCTCTGGATGGCCGTAGCCCCCATTGTGGTGGAGGGATGCCGAGGGCATGCTTCTGTGTGACTGTGAGCAGAGACTCACAAAGGAAGCTGCAGGAAGCAGGCTCTGAGAGGGAAGGACAAGCAAGGTGCCCACCTGGGTGGGGAGGGAGCCAGTCGTGAGCTGGAGCTTCTGCTGAAACAAGGCGCTCAGCATCTGGTTCTGCCGTTCCAGGTCAAACACTCTCTTCTTCAGCTTGATGCATTCCTCCCTCAGGTCCTGCCCACCCAGGGGTGGAGGAGGTGGAAGAGAAGATATCAGAGAGAACAGGATGAATACAGACTTTACCCAGCAGCAGCAGAAATCCTACCTAGAGGACCTGGGTGCCTGCTGGACACACCTTCCCATCGCCAGCTCCCTAGTAAAGGTGGCTGCATTTGCAGTAAGAGGAGTCTATTCTCTCGTCATTTCCGCATCTCTGACATCAACTACTTGCACTATGAAACCATGCAATTGACGAAGGGCCTGCTGCCTGCAGGTGGCTCATGCCTGTAATCCTAGCTACTCGGGAGGGTGAGATCTGAGGATCATGGTTCAAAGCCAGCCCATGAGACTCTTATCTCTAATTAACCATCACAAAAATCTGGTGACTCAAGTGGTAGCCTGCTAGCCTTGAGCAGAAAAACTCAAGAGCAGTGCCCACGCCCTGCATTCAAGCCTCAGTATGGGCACAACAACAACAACAACAACAACAACACAGGGCCTACTTTAGAAGGAATGGGAAAATGATTAAAGGGGTGACATTGCCTAAGATATATTATATTCATAACTGCTTTGTTGAATAGCAACTCCTCTATACAATTACTTCAATTAAAAACAAAGGGGGGAGGCTATAGAGACAGAGGATAACCTTGGAGTCAGACTGACCCATGAAGTTATCCATAGTATATGAGTAAGTATTTTGATGTCAGTAGGTTCATGATGACATCAACATTGCTTTGTCAGGCACCAGTGGCTCATGCCTATAATCCTAGCTACTGAGGAAGCTGAGATCTGAGGATCACAGTTCAAAGCCAGCCTGGGCAGGAACACCCTTGAGGCTCTTATCTCCAATTAACCAGCAAAAAGCTAGAAGTGGAGCTGTGGCTCAAGTGGTAGAGGGCTAGCACTTAGAAAAAAAAATCTCAGGGATAGTACCCAAGCTCTCAGTTCAAGACTGGTACACATACAAAAAAAATATTGCTTTTTGAGGGCTATCACAACCTGGAGAAACCAGCTAGAACTAAGGGAAGGACTCAAATCCAAACCGAAGTTTACATGGTTCTGAGTCCTGGTCTTACCTAATCTTGACCTGGCCTCCAAGTAGAAAACAACGTACTTGCTGAGACAGAAGGAGTGGAGTAAGTGGAGGGCCAATAGACCATCTTCTCCACATTCCTTCCTCAGCTCCTAGTGAAGGCTTAGGTGAGCAGGCTTTGGGGTCCAATAGAAGAACCTCCTAACTGTGTCCAGGGCCTCTCCCGGGGTAAGAATGTTTCCTGCGACCACTTACCTTCTGGTTCAGCAGTGCCTGCACCACATGGTTTGCAACCTGGGGACAAAAGCCCTGAGGGTGAGTTGACAATCCAGGCCCCTGCAGCCCCCAGCCACAGCAGACTTCCCACTGAAGACCCCACAGACCTCATCCAGACAGCGCTCATAAGTCTCCCGCTGGTTCTCATTGGCCTGGGCAAGTGCTGAGTTCTCTGCCTGCAGGAGTGAAGAGGAAGAGGGCAAGAGGGAAGCTCTGGGGTTCTTTTTTCCCCCCAGGGAAAATAAATGCCTTCTGAGGAGGGGTGGCAAGGAATCAAGCAGCTGAAGCTCACATATCGAAGCTTGCAGAGTGGACCAAGGCAGGAGGGCAGAGCTGAGATTGGCCCAACTTCAGTGGGACTAAGGACTTGGCCAGGAGAACTTGAGTGGGAGGTAGCAAAGGGAGCTGCTTTGTTGAATGGCAAGTTCTCTGGACAACTACTTTGTTTTTTTTTTTTTTTTTTGTCGGTTGTGGGGCTTGAACTCTGGGCCTGGGCACTGTCCCTCAGCTCTTCAGCTCAAGCCGAGCGCTCTACCACTTGAGCTACAGCGCCACTTCCGGTTTTCTGGTGGTTTATTGGAGATAAGAGTCTCACGGTCTCTCCTGCCCGGGCTAGCTTTGAACCGCAATTCTTAGATCTCAGCCTCCTGAGTAGCTAGGATTACAGGCGTGAACCACCAGCGCCCAGCTAACTACTTTGTTTTTAATTAAAACAAACAAACCAAAGTGGGGTGTATGTATGGGGGGCAAGGCTATAGAGACAGAGGATGACCTTGGAGTCAAGGTGACTCCATAGTATGAAGTTATCCACAGCATGTGAGTAAATATTTCGGTATCATGATGTTCATGACATCAACACTGCTTTGTCGGGCCCTGATGAGAAGGACAGTGTCTTCAGAATGTAGCAGGGAGGCTTGGCTCGAGGACCCACACTTTGCCCTTCAACTTCTGAGCTCTAAGTCTTCCAAGTGCCTCCTCCTGTGGCTTCTGTGACCATCTTCACCACTCCCCCTCCCCCTACAGAGCCAGCAGGGTCATGAAAATGGGAGGTGGGGGAATTGAGACATTTGAAGATTAGAATGGCCAACTCCTATGCATGCTTCTGGGCCCTGAGCTTGCACCGGGGATGGACACCTAAGAGCAAAGATGGGCTTCTTAGAGGAGCTCTGCTAAAGAAATGCTCAGCTTCCTCCAGGGTAAGGCCAGATAGCTCTGGCCATAGGAAGGTGAGGAAGGCCTATTTGCACCTATTGCCCACCCAGAGCATCTCTGCCTCCCCTGGGCTCTCACCAGCACTGCAATCCCACTGGCCTTCTGCTACATACCTCCAACTCCCGAAGTCGGTGCAGAAGCTCCTGGCAGGTGCTGGACTCCATGCTGTCATCACCAATGGACTCCGGCCTCAGGTTTCCAGGACTCTCGGCTGGCTGGTCCATGGCCTCTGACATCATGCCCTGTAAACAAGTGAGAGATGCCCTAGTAGGCGACTCTAGGACAAGAGGAGGAGAAAAGAAGGAGGAGGAGGAAGAGGAGGAGGAGGATAAAGACAATAAAGACAAAGCTCTTCTGTTTCTTGGAGTTTGGATCAGACTTTGTAACAAGTCAGGGTCAGGCTGGGAGACATCCGCTCACTCTTCCCATTTTGAAGCAGAGTCAAATGCTCTATAAACCTTTGCTCTTACACACATTCTAGACATTGCTCAGACAGACACTGAGCAAGGAGTCAAGACCTTGAGTTCTCCAATGGGATTGGCTTCAAAATGGCAAATCAATCAGCCTCAGTATTTACCAATTACAAAGTAACAATAATGTTACCTAATTTACACAGTTTTGGCAAACAGAAATTAGGTCTACAAAAGTGATGTAAAAAAGTTAGAAAACGGGCTGGGAAGGTAGCTCAGTGGTAGACCGCTTGCCTTGCATGCCTGAGGCCCTGGGTTCGATTCCTCAGCACCACATAAGCAAAAAGAAAAAAAAGCCCGAAGTGGCGCTGTGGATCAAGTGGTAGAGCGCTAGCCTTGGGCTGAAGAGCTGAGGGACAGCGCCCAGGCCCAGTGTTCAGGCCCTATGACCGGACCCCCCCCCCCCCAAAAAAAAGTTAGAAAACAAAACAAATACTTAAGCATGGTGGTACCTACATATAATTCCCAGTTACAACCTGGGCAGTTATAATATAAAAACCAAAGCACTCAAGAGGTAGAGTCCTTGTCTAGTACGTTTAAGACCTTGGGATTAATCCTCAGTACTGAAGACAAACACACAAAAATAGTAACAAAAACCACTACTTAGTCTAGCACCAGTGGTTCACACCTATAATCTTAGCTTCCCAAGAGGCTAGGATCTGAGGAACTTGGTTTCAAGCCAACTAGGTCAGGAAAGTCTGTGAGATTCTTATCTACAGCACTGGCCTTGAGTTAAAAAGCTAGGGGAGAATGGGTGCTGGTAGCTCATGCCTGTAATCATAGCTACTCAGAAGGCTGAGATCTGAGGATCCTGGTTCAAAGACAGCCTGGGCAGTAACATCCCTGTGAGACTCATATCTCCAATTAACCACTCAAAAACTGGAAGTAGCTCTATGGCTCAAAGTGATGGAGCACTAGTGTCTTGAGCAAAAAAGAACGCAGGGATAGCACCCAGGCTCTGAGTTCAAGCCACATAACTGACAAAAAAAAAGGGGAAAGTGTCCAGGCTCTAAGGTCAAGTCCTAGGACTGGTATGTATACACACACACACACACTTACTTACTTACTTATATTAGAAACAATAATAAGTATAACTTAAACTAATGTAACAAGTAAGACTAGTAGGATTTTTGTTCTGAGGATCAGTGGTCCCTTGCCTGAGGAGGACACCACATGCTTTCATGGAGCAAAACAAAACGGAAAAACCACCCAAAGGTTCTGTTTGGTTTTTCCAATATGAGCCAGGTGCACACATGAAACGTGTTTATTAGCTCATTCACTCACATGGTAAACCAAATACACGATCCTGTTTTCTGAGAAATGGGTAGAACGCTTCTTCCTGGCAGTCCCTGGGAGGGTTAGATGTGATTGCCTACGGACAGACAACACTCAGAGAAGCAGGGGGTGTACATGACTTGGGTAGTTGTGAAGAGAGCTAAAGTGGGGCTGCAGTGTCCTTAGCCCAGTCCTGGCCTTCATTTCATTTGCTGGGTAACCCTGAGGCCAGGCCCTTCTTCCTGGGTACAAGAGGAAAGAATACTCTGGAAGGAGTGAAGAATTACTGCCACTAAGGCACCAGTGGAACAGCTCATTTTGTACATTCTGGCCATTCCATTGGGGCCTTTTTTTTCCCCTTCTGTGCTGGTAGTGGGGCTTGAACTCGGGTCATGGGCACTGTCCCTTAGCTTTTTCACTCAAGGTTGCACTCTACCATTTAAGCCATAGCTCCACTTGGTAGTTAATTGGAAATAAGAGTCTCAAATCTTCCTGCTTGGGCTGGCTTCAAACCATGATCTTCGGATCTCAGCCTCCTGAGTAGCTAGGGTTACAAATGTGAGCCACCAGTGCCTGTCTGCTAGGGCCTCTTGACATTACTTGTGCTTGTTAGGCCTTTGTTCTCTAGCTCTGTAATGATTTCCTCCACCAGGCTGTCAGCTCCAAGACCATGAAATCCCAGGTTTAATAGTCTGTATGCAAAACACAGACTGGTGACCAGAAACTAGTGTGTCATGGGCCAAACTCAGTAAGGTTCTAACCTGCACTGTGCTAAGTGATGCTCCCCTTGGTCAGACTCTTGCATTGGTGACTAATTTTTTGTTTTTGTTTTTGGTCAGTCATGGGGCTTGAACTCTGGGCCTGGGTCTGTCCCTCAGCTTTTCAGCTGAAAAGTAGGTGCTATCATTTGAGCCACAGCACCACTTCTGGTATTCTGAGTAGTTTATTGGAGATAAGAGTCTCATGGACTATCCTGCCCGGGCTGGCTTTGAACTGTTATCTTCAGATCTCAGCCTCCTGAGGAGCTGAGCCACCAGTGCATGGCTGGGTTCCAATTTTTTCCAAAAGTGCTTACTTCTTCCTTCCACACAATTACTGTGGAACTTTCCAGTAGGTGGATAACCCTTCTTATTGGGAAGAGCATCACCTCTTTCTTGCTTCATTGAAGACCTCACAAGGTGCCCCAGCCCCTTCCCAGTGTCTATCACCAGCATACAAAGTCCCCAAAGCTCCTCACCAGTCTCTGTCCTCACCCAGGCTGGCACGTTTACTCTGGCAGCTGGAACAGTCACCTCACCTGTGGAAAAACAGAGAGACATGTCAGCCATGTACTTTACAGGAACTACTGGGCTCTTGCTGTGTGCCAGGTGGTGGGGCACAGAGGTGAACAAGCCAGAGAGCCTTGCCTTGACAATTACAAAGCTTCTACTCTATTGGTGAAGGCAGACAATATCTAGTACTGGGTGCGATAAGGCACTGAGATATGATCATAGGCAGAGACTTGTATGAAGCCTAGAGTTAAGCCCAGAGTGGGAAAAGCACTCATGGCAGAGGAAAAAGCCAAGGTCCCGCTCTCACCTAGGAGTCACTCAGCTGTCACATGGTGCTTTCCACTCTTCCAAATACACACTGTGACCACAGAGGAAGGTAAATGCTATTATTGACTAGGCACTGATGGCTCAGGACTGTAAACCTAGCTACTTAGAAAGTTGAGACAGGAGGATTATGGTTCAAAGCCATCCATGATATTCTTACTTCCAATTAACCAGCAAAAAAATGGAGCTATGGATCAAGTGGTAGAATGTTAGTCTTGATCAGAAAAGCTAAGGGACATTGCCTAGGCCTTGAGTCCAAGACCCAGAAAGAAAAAAAAAAGCAGGGGCTGGGAAGGTGGCTCAGTGGTAGAGTGCTTGCCTTGCATGCATGAGGCCCTGGGTTCGATTCCTCAGCACCACATAAGCAGAAAAAGGTGGAAGTGGCGCTATGGCTCAAGTGGTAGAGCGCTAGCCTTGAGCTGAAGAGCTGAGGGACAGCACCTAAGCCCAGAGTTCAGGCCCCATGACCAACCAAAAAAAAAAGCAAATACTCTTTTTTTTTTGGTCCAGTCGTGGGGCCTGAACTCTGGGCCTGGGCGCTGTCCCTCAGCTCTTTAGCTCAAGGCTAGCGCTCTACCACTTGAGCCACAGCGCCACTTCTGGCTTTTTTCTTTTTGCTTATGTGGTGCTGAGGAATCAAACCCAGGGCCTCGAGCATGCAAGGCAAGTGCTCTACCACTGAGCCACCTTCCCAGCCCCAAAGCAAATACTCTTATCAATGCCTGCATTTTAGATGCACAAACTGAGGAACAGGAAGTCACCCTGGCATACACTGACTGCATGTCACATGCTGTGTAGTGTTCCAACTTTCTTCTGTATCATATCTAGTTCTCCTAACAACTTTGGCAGGGGGCAGCTTAGACCTGGGAGAACAAGCAGGCTCTGGAAGCAAAGGATGCTGTCCAAATCACATGGTTGGTTCACACAGACATGCCTGGATGTCTCTCTCCTCTGCAGCCTCTTTGCATACATACATCCAAGTTTTACTTGGCCAGCCAGCTCTATGGAAAAACTTACATGAAAGGTCCATTCAGCTGCAGGGCCCCTGTAGGCAAGAGCCTGTCTACAGAGTCCTGGAGCTTTGCAGTCAGACAGATCTGAGTTAAAATCCTAACTCATCTAGAGAAACTCTTTCCTGGCTTGTGAACTGGGTAGTGGACAGGGCATAATAATGAAGAGTGTAAAGCATGAATTAACTGGAGGTTCTCGTGGTTACATGCTAACCTGGGCAGGGCAAAGTCTGAGGTTCTGCAGCCTGCTATTCTTGGCTCATACAAGGTGGCCTAAGTCACAGGCCTCTCCCGCTGGGATCTTAGTTGCAGATCTCAGGTACTGCCTGGACTGGCCTGGCCTAGCCTGCCCTCTGAGCCTCTATTCTCACACACACCCTCCCCCTCCCAGATTGCCAGCCCCAGGGCCAATACAACTACACTAGAGAGAGAAAGGAACAGCTAGAAATTTTGAGGCCAGGGACAACAAGAAAAAGGGAGAAACCTTTTTTTTTTTTTTTTTGGGTCCGGTCCTAGAGCCTGAACTCTGGGCCTAGGCGCTGTCCCTCAGCTCTTCAGCTCAAGGCTAGCACTCTACCACTTGAGCCACAGTGCCACTTCCAGCTTTTTTCTTTCTTTTGCTTATGTGGTGCTGAGGAATCGAACCCAGGGCCTCAGGCATGCAAGGCAAACGCTCTACCACTGAGCCACCTTCCCAGCCCCTCCCCCCCTTTTTTTGGAGATAGAATCTCCTACCTTTGCATAGGCTGATCTTGAGCTAGAGATCCTCCTGTCCCCTACCCCCCAATAGTTGGGATTATAGGGATGCACCACTACACCTGACTAATACTTACCTTTAACATTCCACAACAATTTAAAGTCTATTATTATTATTATTATTTTGGTCTGAGACCAGGATTCAGTTCCTGATACTTTTGTTCATTGGCTAGTGCTCTACCCACTGAGCCATGCCCCAGTCTTTTGTTACTTTAACATTATAAAATGTATTGAATATGACTTGGTTTGTTCATGACATTATTATGTTTGATACATTTAGAAATGTACAAGCCTGGGAATAAAATGACAAAGATTTGAAAAAAAAAACATTCTCCTTCTGACAATCAAAGGGATTACAAACCTAAAGAGGGCTCAAGATGCCTTTACAATCTGATCACTTTTGCCTGTACCCCTCAACTCCAGTTTCTGGATATTGTCTTTTGAATCCACTGGGTGGCAATTCCCAGGGAAGAAGATTAATAGGGTAGCATCTAGGGACCAGAAGAGGATAAATCTAAAAGCCAGGGGCAGTCCATGGTTTTGTGTTCTTCACACAAAAATATAATCCAACTAACCAATGAAGGTTACAGCTGGGTGCTGGTGGCTCATGCATGGTTCAAAACCAGCCTAGGTAGGAAAGTTTGTGATTAATGACCAAATTAATGACTAAAAAAATCAGAAGTAGAGCTGTGACTAAAGTGACAGAGCACTAGATTTTTAACACCAACACACTCACTAAAGCCAGCCACTGTCAGCCTCCCAAGGCAGATGCTGGAGTCCCACTACAGGAGGCCCTCCTGGCTCTACGGCCTTGGAGGCTAAACTGTCCTGCACAGCTCTGTGTGCCAGAGAGGCTCCGGAAGTGTTGGCTAAAGGAAAGCTGTGAGTCACTCTCACGCTGCTCACATGCCACAGCGGTCTGAGCCAACTCAGGATGGAGTCTGCAGGTCTGCCACAGTAGAGGGAGGAAGCTGTTAGCCTAGACTGGTGAGGAGTCACAGGAAAAGAGCTACTACATTTAAACTTGGTGATAGGGTGGAGAAGGGCATATGCCTATAGGACCAAACTAAGCGTAAGACTTTTATTTTTTGGTCAGTCATGGGGCTTGAACTCGGGGCGTAGGCACTGGTCCTGAGCGCTTCAACTCAAGGCAAGTGCTCTACGACTTGAACCACAGAGCCACAGCGCCACTTTCGGGTTTTCTGGTGGTTATCTGGAGATAAGGGTCTCATGGACTTTCCTGCCTGGGCTGACTTTGAACCATGATCCTCAGATCTCAGCCTCCTGAGTAGCGAGGATTACAGGCATGAGCCACTGAATCCTGGCACTAAGTTTAAGACTTAAAACAAAAAGCAAACAACAACAACACCCAGGTGCCAGTCGCTCAGGCCTGTAATCCTAACTATTGAGAAGACTGAGATCTGAGGATGGTGGTTTAAAGCGAGTGTGGGCAGCAAAGTCTGTGAGACTCTTGACTCCAATTAACCAGCAAAAGTCAGGAAGTGGAGCTGGTAGAATGTTAGCCTTGAGCAAAAAAGCTCAGAGACATCACACAGGCTCTGAGTTCAAGCCCCAGGATCAGCATCAAAAACCAAAACCAAACCAAACCAAACCAAAAACAACAAAAAAACAAGCCAGGTGTGGTGGCACAAACCTACAAGCCTAGCACTTGAGAGGCTGAGGTGGAAAGACTGTGAGTTCAAGGCCAGCTGGCTACCCAGTGAGACCTATCTGTCATCAAAAATAAAACAAAATAAACAAAAAAACACCTTCAGGGGTGGGAAGGTGGCTCAGTGGTAGAGTGCTTGCCTTGCATGCATGAGGCCCTGGGTTCGATTCCTCAGCACCACATAAGCAGAAAAAGCCAAAGTGGTGCTGTGGCTCAAGTGGTAGAGCACTAGCCTTGAGCTGAAGAGCTGAGTGACAGAGCCCAGGCCCAGAGTTCAGGCCCCATGACTGACAAAAATAAAACAAAACAAAAAACCCAAAACACCTTCCTAGAAGTGGAGGAATGGCTCAAGGGCCAAAAAGCCCTGAGTTCAAGTCCCAGTACTGGGGTCCAGTAGCAGTAGAATGCATAGGTATGCACACACACACACACACACACACAGATGGAAAGAAAGAAAAAAGAAAAAAAAACAAAAACCTTCCTGTATCTATGCCACTGGAATATCAAATTCAATGAGGCACTACCAGCTCCAAATCAAACCTCATCAATAACTTGGCCTTTCAAGGACTAGGTTTCCTGACAGCTAAATCTCAGAAGAAAAAGCCAAACCTAAATCGGTTCCCAAGAGGCTGTGTGGGGTGTAAGTGTTCCCCTCCCATCCCCTAGAGGTTTAACACTCCCCTCCTGTGACCTCTGTAATTAGCTTCCCAGCCCCACTGGGAGCTGGGGAAAACCCAGGCCTGGTTCTCCCAGGATGGCCCTGGTCTCAGACATTCCTCTATGTGTTTCCACAACTCCTGTTTGGGTCTGGAACACCCCATGCAGACCAGGCTGGTCCGGGATGGGGCTGCCAGGGTTGGGAAGTCTAAGTTGAACTGGAAGCTTCTCCCGCCAGAACTGCCAATGAGAGGCCCTTCCCTCCACAAAGGCCTGATTCAGAGGGAGGTGACCTCAGTGCTTAGGGGAGGGAGGGAGGACTAACAGCGGCAACAGCATGCTCTTTGGCTGTCCTTTAGAGGGTGTGGGGGGGCACTTTGGGGGCAGCCAGGGACAAGGAATAACTGCTGCTCAGGAGTGTCTGGGTAATATGGGGGTTTTGCTGAGTAAATTGGGTGCTGGCTATCTCTTTGGCCTAGTAGATTAGAGTCCTTGTCCCCTACTTCCAGCCCAGGTCCCTACACATGTTACACTGAGCCACCTCTTCAGCCCTGAATCTCCCTTTAAAGGAGAGGGTCTGCAGCTCCCATTCTTCCCCAGCCAGGGCAGA